GTTCGCAATAAACAACTGCACCTCCCAGTCGCGAACCATTTCAACTCCCCCTCCCATTCCTCAGACGACATGTCCATCCTGGGCCTCCTGCAGTGCCACAACGATGCCACCCGAAGGTTGCAGGAACAGCAACTCATATTCCGCTTGGGAACCCTGCAGCCCAATGGTATCAATGTGGATTTCACAAGCTTCAAAATCTCTCCTAACCCTACCGCATCCCAAAACCAATCCAGCTCGTCCCTGCCTCCCTAACCTGTTCTTCCTCCCACCTCAAGCCGCACCTCCATCTCCTACCGACCAACCTCATCCCGCCCCCGTGGCCTGTCCGTCCTCCCTGGACTGACCTATCCCCTTCCTAACATCCCCACCTACACTCACCTTTACTGGCTCCATCCCCGCCTCTTCGACCTGTTTGTTTCCTCTCCACCTATCCTCTCCTCTCTTCTATCCGCCTCCCACTCTCTCCCTATTTATTTCAGAACCCCCTTCCCCTCCCCCTTTTCTGATGAAGGGTCTAGGCCCGAAAAGTCAGCCTCTCTGCTCCTATGATGCTGCTTGGCCTGCTGTGTTCATCCAGCCCTGCACCTTGTTGTCTCTGTTTATCAATTATATTCATTTTGTCACAAGGTACTGTCCACCTTATCATAGGAAATGAGCAAGACCACTTTGAAACACTCAAAACAAGCGATAATATTTCTCTCTTAAATACAGCCACGAGTTAACTGGTTGCAATTCTAGTTGCATTGCACCACTGTTGTTCCTACTACTGTTGGTCCTGTCCTCCTTACTATCCACAGGCTGGGAGATATTTCTATCCTGGGTGACTGCTCAGGTGGCAGTTTCAAATTGAACCAAATCTATAATTTCATTATATGCTCAGTCCCATCTTTGTTCCTGGCAGCTGCTGTTCCTTACCTTTGCAGTGATGTAGCACTTCAAATTGTGTCACCAAACATGCACAGTTGCCGTTCCACCTAGCAATGGGGTTGATAACAAATGCAACTAACATGGGAAATGATTTATAAATTCAATTCGTTAAATTATATCAAAATTCGTTGTACTCTTTAGTTTGGACCAAACACTATCTGCTGGTTAGCACTATCCTTCTATAGTAATGAAGTATTTTCTGTTTGCATGGCAGTGTATGAAACACAGTAACAACCTGGTTGAAAATCCATTCAATAATTGGTCCATTCAGTCTGTCATGTGCAATTTGGACATTTTACCATTTCACCTGAAAGCCAATTGATCTCCTGGCAAAGGTGGAAACCATAGAAACAAGAGGAGACTATTAAGCCTTTTGAGTCTCTTACATACATGTGAGGAGATGTTTTTTGGAAAGAAGAAGGAGTAGAGCCGGTATAAACTAAATGGTCAAATTTTAACGAAGTGATCCAGTGTTTCACTTATGGAAGAATAGAGTCTGAAAACAAGGAAGATGTGCTCAACCTTTAGAAATCAATGCTTAGGCTCCAGCTGGATTGTCATTTCCAATCCTTAGCAAAGTACATTAATAAGGATGTCAGACTTTTCAGACAGTTTAGATGGAATTTAGTAGAATGTAATCAGGGATGTGGGCCTTCAGTTACATGTAGACATGAAAGAAGCTGGGGTAGTTTTCCCGAGAACTAGGAATTATAAGAGAGATTTAGAAAAACATTCAAAATGTCTTGCTGAAGAAGCATTTTCCTACACCAGAAGAAGCAAATTCAGTTATTGGCAAAAGTCTGAGAGGTAAGATGAGAAATATAAAGCAGCAATTTGTTGTGATCTGCAATGTCTGCCTGAGTGGGTAGTGGAGCAATGATTTTCAAAAGCAAATTGGATTTCTTTATACAGAAGTACTTAGTAGACTGTGGGTCAAGCAAGGGAAAAGGAATATCGAATAGCTTTTGCAGAAATGGTATAAAATTAATGATCTACCTGTCTGCTGTATCAGTTTATGATTGTACATTCTATTTTATTTTCTGTGTCTAATGACTTATTTAAATGTATGTATGGAATGAAGTAGACCATTTTGAATTTATATAAAGTTAACATTGCTGGGAGAATGAGTAATATAAGTAAAGGAAACTGAAATGCAAAATAGAAATTTTTAGTAAAGTGAGTTTGATCTTACAAAGAAAAATTCATTTGTTAGTGAAGTAATTTGGTTATTCTTGTTGCAGCACCCTCATTCCCATTCTGCATCAGAAAGCAAAGAGAGGCACTCCTCGCCAGGCTAAGCAAGCTGTACACTGCATTCATGCCATTTTCACCAACAAAGAAGTACAATTGGCACAAATCTTTGAAGTATGTAAGCTCAGTTTTGTTTGTTGTTCAATTATTCTTTGTTTAAACCATGAACATTGTGATTGACTGACTGCATTATTGGTGTATTTTTTGGCAGAGCATTTGAGTTGATGCAGTGTGGTGATCATCAATTCTTAGGTAGTCCCTCAGGATTGAGGATGATCTGCTTCTATTCTGATTTAGTGGGTTCTGAACAATGTTCTGTATAATATAATTTTATGATATATGGACCTCCCAAGGTCCTTGCCCTGCAGTCAATTCCACAAGTAGAAGCCACTGCAAGGTGCGTCATTTTAGCATGTGCAAAACCTCAGCAGCCAAGCAGCTGAGGGGGAAATTTGGTTCTGAAATGGCTGATGCGTTCACTGGCATTTGTGCTGTGAGAGCTAGTTGAAAGAGGATTTCTGAATGCTTAATTTAAGGCCATATCCTCAAGAACAGGAGTCAATAATGAGTTGTAGCTTATCTTTTGAATGTGTAGGCACTGGAGTCATCTGATATTGCAGTTCTGTGACTGAGGCTGGAGTGGTTTTAGTTTTGGATTGAAGGCAAGGTAGCTTTGCTGTTTGTTCCATGGATTATCTCCATGCACATGGATAATTTGCTGGAGGTAAGATGCAATATTGCAGCAAGGAAATTGGAGAAGAGGTTGGTGCAGTGATGCACCTTTGTTTGACCCCAGTCTTCACTGGAACAAGGTTGGTGGGTTTTATGCTGAGTGATGATTGACAGTTCACCAAGACCAAAATACAATTTTCTATGTTTTCTTTTGGTCTAAGTAGCTATTTTACTTATAGATCGCTTCTGCATTATCTGTTGATATGAGCTGTAATTAGATGCACCTTTTGAAAGATCAAAGTTAGCTTTAGGTCTTTGATATAGCATTTAAGTTTAAGAGAAAAATAGCTCTACAAAAATAAAAAGCGATCTAGCATTTTCTGAATTTGTAAATTGCTGTTTGAAAATGTCAATAACTTGTAGATAATGGAAAGAATTTTATCTCAATTGAGATCTGAGTTGCTCAAATTATTACATAAATCTTTGTAGCCTCATTGAAAATTTAAAACTAGAAACAAATACTGCACATTTGAATGAATTGTTCAGTCCTTTGTTTCTGAAGTTTACCATTTTGTAAATTCTTTATGTTTACATTTTGTTTTCTCCAGCCACTAAGCAAAAGCCTAAATGCTGACATCCCAGAACAGCTGATAACGCCACTCGTCTCCCTAGGACACATTGCTATGTTGGCCCCAGATCAGTTTGCATCTCCAATGAAATCAGTGGTTGCAAATTTTATTGTCAAAGATTTACTTATGAATGACAGGGTATGTCAGGTTTGTGCATTTGGTTTCCTAAATTATTTTTATGATACTGAAGTGATTTTTTTTCTCTCTGTATACCATGATCATGATGGCTTTCTTCATTTTGTTACACTGGAATCTATGTTATGGAATCTGTGGCTCTCCCAGTTTGTCACCGAGACTAAAAATGTCCCACCATGTTAAATTCAGTTTTCCTCATCCTAATTTGGGGTTTCTATTTCAGTTCACTTACTCAATGATTAACATGTTAATTGATCAGCCAGAAATAAAAAGATTTGAATTTCTTCAGATTTTCTACCATGACATTGTTAACTTTTGTTGTAGTAAGTACAATATTTATACATTTATGTGCAGTTGCTGCAGCACCTCCATTAAAGCGCAAGATGATGGCAGGACAAAAACCAAAAGAACTGCGGATGCTGTAAATCAGGAACAAAAATAGAAGTTGCTGGAAAAGCTCAGCAGGTCTGGCAGCATCTGCGAAGAAAAAAATCAGACTTAAGTGTTTTGGGTCCAGTGACCCTTCCTTAGAACATGATGGCAGGACATCTGAAGAAATTTAGGACCCATCATATTACTCCCAGCTTTTGAGAAACATATATGTCTGATTTTTTAAATAAATGTCATGGAATTATAGACTGGAAAAGAAGCTTTTCTGGCAGGCCTGTTATGAGATTCTTGTACCAGGCTACTTAGGAAATATCCTAGAGAAATACTTAGGAATTCAAAATATAAACAAGTTTTTAGTTCTCCCAGTACATCCATATTTGATATATAAACCACTGCTGAGATGTGATCCTGGAGTACATTTGAAAAGTTTATTGACTGTTTACCTGTATATAGATGGCTTCCTTATGATATGTGATTTGTCATAGTAGTAATAATGTTATGGCATGTTGAGAAAATAATGAACAATAAATAACCTTATATTGATAGAACAAAGTTGTGTAGCAAAATTAATTTGTTCATATTCTTTCCTATGTCTTATGGTGTTGAAAAATCATGTGATCTAGTCAGAATGGAAAGGAAACAACTGTTCCCATTGACGAGAATCAAAGAGTATGAGGAGAAAGCTGGAGTATGGCACTAAATTAGAGGATTAGAAATGATGATATTGAATGGCGAAACAGACTGAAAGGGCCAAATGGCCTACTACTGCTTCTAGTTTCTGTGTTCTTATGAGTAATGGTCACTTTGGTAAGATGCTGCATTTGGAAACCCCATCATACATGACCATCTTTAGAATGGGATGCGAAAGTGCAATTACTATAATGGGACTAGTAAATAATATGTTTAGTAAAAATTGCCAACTTGTATAATGAGTCTTTTTCAGGGATAGGAATGATATCTCGTAATGCTTGTACCACCAGCTAGCAAGAAATTGCTTATTGACCGGATTTCTTTCATTTGTTCTCTACATACAAATAATTAGCATCTCATTTCTATAGTTTCCTGGAGGGAAAAATGGTAAATTGTGGACTCCAAATGAAGAGGTCTCTCCAGAGGTACTCGCTAAGGTACTGTAGGCTGAAACATTAACTTATAGTTGTGCTAATATAAAAGCAAAGTTCTGTGGATGCTGGAAATCTGAAATGAAAAACAAAGTGCTAGAGAAGCACTGTAGGTCTAGCACCATTTGTGGAGAGAGAAGCAGAGTTACCTATTCGCGTCCAATATGATGACCCTTGCAAGTAAGGCAGACGAGTTGCAGTGCTGATTAACACATGATATGACATCTATGCTATCGTGGAGACAAGGTTGAGGGAGGATCATTATTAGCAGCTCAATTTCTGGGGTATGGCATCTTCAGGCGAGACAGAAAGGGTATAAAAAAGGTGGTGTTGCAGTGTCGATTGAGGGGTCAATTACTGCAGTTCGGAGAGTTGAAATCTCGGAAGGCTCCTCAATTGAGGCAAATGAGTGGAACTTAAAAAGAAGGCAGTCATGTTGTTAGGAATGCATTATAGACCTTACAAGCAGTCAGGAAGAGATAAAGGGGCAGATTGTAGGCAAATTTCAGAGAAGTGTAAAATAATAGGGAACATCAATTTCCTAATATTAGCTGGCATAAACAAAACATGAAAGGCTTGTGGTGCGGGTGGAGGTAGAATTTTTAAAGTGGAGAGCTTTTAAAGCCAAAGCCCTACAAGAGACAGGGTAGCTGAAAATTAAGAAACAAAGATAGGCAACTGGTAGAAGTGAGTGGGAGAGCACTTAAATGGTAGACACCATAACTCAGTAAGATTTAAGGTGTTATAAAGAAGGATAAAAGTGGACAGTAAACAAAGGTTCTAAATTGGGGGCAAAGTCCAATTTTAATATGATAAGGTGGGATCTGGCCAAAGTGGACTGGGAGCAGTTGCTTGTAGAAGAATTTACATCAGAGTACTATGTGCCTTTCAAAAAGGAGATAGTGGAAGTGCAAGGCCAACATGATCCTGTAAAGGTGAACAGTGGGACCAGAAATTCCAGAGGATCCTGGATACTGTGGATTATACAGGTTTGGATAAGGGGGGAGAAAGGGTTGTTGTAAAAATTGAGGGCTCAGAACACCAGAAGAGGCCAATGAAAAAAGAAATTAGGAAAGCAGAGAAGTGGCACAAGAAAACACTGGCAAGTCAAATAAAGGAAAATTCAGTGGCATTTAATAAGTATATTAAGGGTAAATAGATAACTAGGGAAAGAGTAGGTCCTTAGATCCTCCAAAGTGGCAAACTGGGTGGAGTCAAAAGATGTAGGCTGTAGTTTTTCATAACTACTTGTAAACAAGTATTCACAATAGAGGAAAAAAATGTGTAAGGATAGAAATCGGGGAAGAGAACCGTGATTATTTGAACAAATTACATTTGGTTGGGCGTGGTGGGGAGGCGTGGTGCAGGAGAGTGGTTGCGGTGAGCAGTGTTTGCAGGTCTTGGGGTGAGTAGCCTTAAAATTGAATAAGTCCTCAAGCCCAGTTGACCTGTATCCCTGGTTATGGGAGGTATTGGAGGGAGCATTGCATGCTCTCCGACAGAAATTTTCAACTTCCCTTATTAAATGAGTGTGGTACGGATGAAGGGAAATGTGGCCAGTGAGTCTGTCAGTGGTAGAGAAATGACCGGGAAAAATTCTGAAGGATAGGTTTAATTTTCACTTGGAGATGTGAAGATTAATCAAGGTAGTCAGTATAGCTTTATCAGGAGGAACATCATGTATGACAGGTTTGAATGAGTTTTGTTTTGAAGAGGTGACTGTAATTGTAGATAAAAGTAGTATGTTGGATGAAGTCTGCATGGGATCTAGGAGGTATGAGCCCGTGGGATCCAGGACAATTTGGCAAATTTGATCCAAAATTGGCTTAGTGGTAAGAGACAGAGGGTGATGTTTGAAAATTGGTTTTTGTGACACTTGAAGCCAGTGCCCAATGGTGCATTACATAGTTTAGTGCTGGGTCCTTTGCAGTTAGTAGTATATGTAATGATCAAGACACAAATGTTGGAGGAAATTGGTGGTGTGCTAAATAACGAGGAGGAAAGCCTTAGATGACAAGATATCGGGGGGCTGGTCAGATGGGCAGAACAGTGGCAAATGAAATTTAATCCTTAAAAGTGAGAGGTAATGTATTTTGTGAGGACTATCGAGGCAAGGGAATATATGATGAATTGTAGGACCCTGGGGTGTTCAGAGTATCTAAATGACCTTGGTGTGCATGTCCATAGATCCTTGGAAACAGCGTGTCAGGTGGCTAAGAATACTTGCCTTTGGAATATTTTGGAATACTTGCCTTTATTAGTCAAGGCATTGAATATAATAACAGGGAACTTGTAATAGTTTGTCTAGACTACAGCTGGAGTGCTGTGTGCAGTTCTGGTCACCGCAGTAAAGGTAGTAGGATGTGATCGCACAAGAGAAGGTGCCAAAGAGATTGACCAGGTTGTTAACAAAGTTGAAACATTTTAGCTATGCCGAAAGACTGGATAGGCTGGGATAGTTTTCCTTACAGCAGAGAAGATTGATGGGAGGACCTAATTGAGATGTACAAAATTGAGGGACATAGATAAGAAGAAACTTTTTCTTCAGTAGATGGTTTAATAAGCAGAGGGCATAGATTTAAAGTGAAGAGAAGGAGGTTTAGAGGGGATTCAAGGAAGATTTTTTTCACCCAGGGGCTGGTACTCTGTTTGACATGGCATTATAAACAGGAACCATCACAACATTTGAAAAAGTTTCTAGGTGATCCCTTGAAATGTCATAACACACCATGTTACTGGCCAATCCTGGAAAATGGGACAAGAGTAGATTGGTGCTTGACTACTGACGCAGGCACAATGTGCTGAAGAGCCTCTTGCCGTGCTGTAAAACTCTGTGGCTCTTCTTTAGACCTTATAACTCTGCTAGCTTTTACTAGTTTAAGACTGAAAAGATTCATATTCTTAAAATGTGCGTGTCTCCGCATTCATGCATAACAATAAAAATACTCATTAGCAGATGCTACTTTATATTTTAATCAGTTCTTACTACATGCACAACAACATGTAAAATGTCTACTGGTAGTTGTCTATATTTGAAAACTTGTTCATTAAAAAACAATTGTGAATATGTAATGCAGTAATTTCAATGTTTTTCATTAGGTTCAAGCCATTAAGCTTTTGGTACGGTGGTTGTTAGGGATGAAGAACAACCAATCCAAATCTGCGAATTCCACACTCCGGCTGCTATCGGCCATGTTGGTCAGTGAGGGTGACTTAACTGAACAGAAAAAGATAAGGTAATTATAACAGAAGAAATATAAAACAAAACTCGACACTGCACTCATTAAAGTGAGACTAGGACAAAAGATTGGTCAAAGAGGGAAGTTTTAATTTAAGAGTCTCTTAAGAACACAAGTGGAAGCCCAATTCAACTGTATACCTTTGACTCTGCCATTTAATACGGCTAATCTTGAGCTTCAACTTCACCTTCTTACTTGCTCCTATACCCCTTGGTTCTCCAAGAGATCAAAAATCTGTCTACTTTGAATCTTTTAAATGTTGGAGTATCCACAACCTTCCGGAGTGGAGAATTCCGTAGATATTTTACCTTTTGAGTGAAATAATTTCTCCGATCAGCCTGATATCATAAGACTGTTTCTGTTGGTCAGGAATTCTAAAACAATCAACGTCTATCCTCTCAAACTCCTTCAGAATCTGTTATCTCTCATGTGGTAGCCTTTAATTCTTCTAAACTCGGGAATGTCAGTTCAATTAAAGGAAAAAGGAGAGATAGAGAAGTAGAAAAGTTTAGAGGGGAAATTTCAGAACTGAAGGCCAAGGCATAGAAGGACATGACCATTCATTTTGGAGCATTTAAAATCAGGGGTCCTCAAGAAGCCACAATTATAAGAAGGTAGATATTTCAAATGGTGGGAAAATGGTAAGATTATTCTTTGTTCATCATCTTCACTTTCTCAATCCTGTCTCCTCATCAGTTATATAAAAGAGATGCATGTGATTGAAGTTCTTTTTTCTCTGTAGTCAGGTACAGCTATCTTCTGTTGATGCACACAGAAAGAAAAAGATGCTTGTTTAAGTATCTATTGATCGTTTTGCCAAGTTGTTTGTATATTTTGAATGTTCATGGTTGCAACACTGCCTGCACAAACAATCTGCCACAATGGGAAGAGGATAACCAAGGAAAGAGTAGGACCTATTAAGGACAAAGGGTGAGGACATGGGCAGAGTGTTAAGCAAGTACTTCACAGCTGTTTTCACTCAGGAGAAAGAGGATGTAGATACAGAATTTGGGAAGTGGGACTGTGAAGTTGTTGAGAAGATTGAAAAAGGGAGTGAGGAGCTGTTGGAACTGTTGGAGGACTTAAAGTAGACAAATCACTAGATCTGGATGAGTTGTCTCGGACTGCGCTGGGAGTCAAGGGAGAAAATTACAAGGGTTCTGACCCAAATTTTTAATACTTCTCCGGCCTCGTGGGAGGTGCCAGAGGAATGGAGGACAGCTAATGCGGTTCCACTTTTCAAGAAGGGTAGCAGAGATAAATAGGGAATTACAGACCAGTGAGCCTCTCATCAGTGATAGGGTAACTATTGGAGAAAATTCTGAAGGATAGAATTAATTTCCATTTAGAGAGACAGTGTTTAATTGGGGATGGTCAACATGGTGTATCAGAGGGAAGTTGTGCCTAACAAATTAGATAGAATTTTTCGAGGAAATAATCAGGTTTGTATTGAGGGTGGGTCAGTTAATGTAGATTATATGGATTTCAGCAAAGCCTTTGACAGAATCTCAAATGGGAGACTAATGAAGAAGGTAAATGCACATGAGATCCAGGGTAGCTTGGCAAGTTGGATCCAAAATTGTCTTTGTGGTAGGAGGCAGAGAATGATGGTAGAAGGCTGTTTGTGACTAGACACCATTGTCCAGTGGCGTACCACAGGAATTAGTGCTGCATCCCTTATTGTTCATGATATTGTTGAGAATTGAGGGGTGGGGTGAGTGATCAATAAATTTGTGAAAGACAAAAAGATTGGCAGAGTGTTAATAGTGAGGAAGAAGGTCTTAGGGTATAGTTTATTGGCAGGTTGGCCAGGTGGGCACATCAGTGGCTGATGAAATTTAATTCTGAAAAGTGTGTGATGATGCACTTTACAAGAAATAACAAGACAAGGGAGTACTCAATGAATGATAGAATGCTAGGAAGCTCAGAAGAACAGAGAGATCTTGGGCTGCTTCTCCACAGATTCCTTAATATGGGAGGTTAATAGGGTGGTTGAGAAAGCATAGAGGACATTTGCCTTTATCAGTTGTGGAATAGATTAGAAGAGCAGAGAGGTTATGTTAGATCTGTATAAGACTTTGGTTAGGCCACAGCTGGAGTACTGTGTGCAGTTCTGGGTGCCTCACTATAGGAAGGATGTGGTTGCACTGGCAGGGGTGTAGAAGGGTTTCACCAGGATGTTGCCTGGGATTGAGCATTTCAGCTATGGAGAGAAGCTTAATTGGCTCAGGTTATTTTCTGTAGAGCAGAGAAGGCTGATGGACACTTGACTGAGGGTATAAGATTGTGAGGGGCATTAATAGGAAGTGGCTGTTTCCCATAGTTGAAGGGTCACTAATGACGGAGTATAATTTTAAGGTGATGAGCAGTAGGTTTAGAGGGGATTTGAAGAAAAATGTTAAAGTCAGAGTGTGATAGGTATCTGGAGTGTGTTGCCTAGATGGATTGTTGAGGCACGAAAGCTCAGCCTTTAAAAGTATGTGGTTGAACACTTGAAATATCTTACCATTCAAGGCTTATGGGTTATTTGCTGGAATGTGGGATTTGTGGAGAGGTTGACACAGACTCAATGGGCCAAAGAACTCTTCTGTGTTATATAACGCTAAGTTGTTAATACTTTAATGTCGAGGTCTTTAGTTGAGATCTGCATTAATTGATAACAAGTTGTATTTACATATACGTTACAAAATAAAATATAACGTCAAGCCATCTAAGGATATGTTAGGGCAGATAACCAGAAAGATTGGATTCAAGTAGTATCTTTCAGGAACCAAGAAAGATGGAAGTAATTTCAGAGTTTAAATGCTCTGTTAGAATTGCTATTGGTATTGATTGATGCTTGCATAAAGTTTAAGCTGTGCCAGAGATCCCTGTGAGCAGCATGCGCCGAATTGATGCTTGATGCATGAGTTGCTTTCAAATATATTGCACATTACTGAAGTGCATGGTTTGCTTCACTCTCTATACAATTGTAATCAGTGTTTCGAATGGTTTAATTTTAATTTATTTTTCTTTGTTCCTCATATTCCTTCATTCTTTCGCTTGTGTTAGCACTAATATTGAAAATAATGAAATCAAATGGTTCAAGATTCTTTAAGAGCCTTCTTGGAATTAAGGTTGCACTCCTGAGACTCTGCCTGATTACAATGAAAAATAGAACCAGAAGTAGATATTCAGTTGGATCATGTCTGAACTTTACTTGAGCACCATTTACCAGAATTTGTTCTGTGCTATTTGATACCTGTACCTAATAAAGATGAATTGATTTTGGTTTTGACAGTTTAATTTGATGTAACGTCTTATAGCCTTTTGGAGGAGAATGTTCGAGATTAGTTATCATTTTTATGAAAAAATGCTTCCTAATTTCAATTCCAAAGGATCGTGTGTAATCCTAAAATAGTTCTTTCTTGTTCTGGATTCCCCCACTGGCAACTATCATTTCTCTGCATTTAACCTATTGAATCCCTTATTAAGATAATCATCACTTCAACTTTTAAATTCAGTGGAATACAAGGGGAGTTTTTGCAATATATCCTCATTATTTAACCTTTTAACCTCTGGTATCATTCTGGTAAATCTGTTGCCTCTCTTCAAGGCCAGTATTTGTTTCCTGAGGTATAATATGTGTAAAATAAAATAGTACTCCAGATTGGGTCTAACCAAAGCTCCATACAATGCGGATGCCACTATCTTAAATTTGAATTACCATGAGATAAATACCAATATTTCATTAACTGTATTTTTGTACCAACTTTCAGTCCAGAATCAAAATGGATGCTTAATATCTGAAATAAAAATGGTGAATATTGAAAATATTCGGATCTGCATCTTTGGAGAGAGAACCACTTAAAAATTTAAGGTCAATGGCCTTTCGCAAGAACTGAAAGCACTTGAAGCAGACAGGTTTTGAGCAAATGCTGCGGCAGAAAGAGGATTGAAGGTGGTGGAGCCAAGAACAAAAGTGAAGATCTGTAATTCTCTGGAAGGCAGAAGAGATTAAATGATAAAAGGCAGTAATGCAAAGCTAAAGAAGGTTGTGAATGGAAAAGTAACGAAGCAAGAGATGGGTCTAGAGGAGTCTAAATGGGAAGAACAGAATCCTTTCCGATGCCTGTCTCACAAAAAAAAATCAAAGATAGAGGTTATAATCTGAGATTGTCACCTTCCAGATCATACTCACTTCTGCACTACCAATCCAAACTCCCTATCCTTGTTTTCCTTGTCTATTCTAATAAAGATCAACAGAAAATTGAGCAGCATTTTAACTTTTGCTCAATCACTTGTAACCCTCCAGATTCCAAGCCTGGATCGAGGCTGTGCATTTAACTCTTTCTGGTTGACCCCCTAGCTGTTTTTCCGTGAGCGAATTATGCCTGACAAATTTACTGGAATGTCATGAGGAGGTAACAAGCAGGATAGATGAGGGGGAAGCTGTGGATGTAATATGCTTACATTTCCAGAAGGCATTTGGTGCAATACAACACAGTTAGCTACTTAATAAGATAAGAGTCAATGGTGCTGGAAGCAGTATATTAACAAGGATAGTGGATTGGCTAACCAATAAAAGACAGTGTTGGGACAAGGGGTCATTTTCAGCATGGCAACTAGTTACCACTAGAGTGCTACTGTGATGGTACCACAATTGTCTACGACATATATTTATGACTTGGATAAGGAAATTAAATGTACTATAGCCAAGATTGCAGATAAAATAAAAGTTGGTGGGAAGGCAAATGATGCGGCTGATTGAAAAGCTGCAGAGAAATATTGACAGGTTAAGCAAGTGGGCAGAAACTTGGCCGATGGCATATAACATGGGAAAATGTGAGATTATGCACTTTGGCAGGAAGAATAGATTAGATGAATACTCTTTAAATAAAGAAAGACTGCAGATAGCTGCAGCACAGAGACATTTGAGAGTCCTCTGCGTGGATCTCAAAAGCTAGCGTCCAGGTTCAGTGGATAATGGTGAAGTTAAATAGAATGTTGGCCTTCACTTCAGAGGGATTGGAGTGTAAAGGTAAGTAGCCTTTGCTAAAACTATGGCTGTAGTCAGACCACAGCTGCAATACTGTGAACAGTTTTGGAACTCTTATCTAAGTAAAGAGATACCAGCATTGAAGACAGTCCAGATCACTAGACTGTCAGTGGATCTGGAAGAACTGTCTTCTGAAGACAGGGGTAAGTTTGGCCTGTACTCATTGCAATTTAGAAGAATGGAAGGATGACACGTGAGGATTTCCTTCTCTTGGGGTAGTAAATCTGCAGAATTCTTGACCACAGAGGGCTGGAGAGGCTGGGTTGTTTAGTATATTCAAGTCCAGGATAGACAGATTTTTAATTAGTAAGTGTATTAAGTGTTATGGGCAAAAGGTAGGAAAGTTGAGTTGAGGATTTTCAGATTAGCCATTATTTCATTTAATTGCAGAGTAGACTCAATGGACTGAATGGCCTATTACTGCTCCCAGATCTTATGGTGAGTGGCTGCCATTTTGTGACATTGTTGACATTTTAATTAGTCTATGATTTAGAAGATGGTTGAAAGATGACAATGGACTGGATTATATTTCCGTGCCCTTGTTGATGTGAAATCCGCAAGTGATATTTCACGTTTTTAAGCAATATCATTACTTTACAATGCTTGGCTGCAGTTTATGATTTTCGCACTTGGAAAAGTCCATTTACAGACAAGGGAAATTTGTGTTATATTTCTAATCTTTGTCTGCCTCCTTTAGCATATTTAATTTTACAGTTAATCTTGAGATTCATTCCACCCTGGCTTGACGCTTGATGAATACCATAAAATTTTTCTTCTGATGAAGGGTCACTGGACTCCGTGTTAACTCTGCTCATCTCTCTGCAGACACTGCCAGAGGTGCTGAGTTTCTTCAGTACTTGTTGGTGTTACAGGTTTCCAGCATCTACAGTTCTTTGTATATTAGAGCAGTTTTTGAAGCTATTGGCTCAAGGATATAGGGAAAACATTCTCACCTTCATATAGTGCCATGGTATCTTTACTGTCTGCTGAAATCATTAGTGAAGGTTCAGTTTTAAATAAGAGGATTGCCTCTCTGGCAGTTCAAAACTGTCTGTGCATGCAAGTATCAACCTAGGTTATGCATTCATTCTTGATCCCTACAGCCATCTGATTGGAGCTGGGAGAGCTGTTAATTGTCTCAGATTGAGGAGTGTCAAGTTGAAGATCCAGACTTCAATTATTTCTCAGATATTTTCTTAAATATCCGATAATTTTAATTAAAGAAAATACTGGAGCAACTCAGCAGATCTGTCAGTGTGTGTGGATAGAGAAAGTCAGTGTTTCAAGTTCGATATGACTTCTTCATAATTGAGGGGGGCTGCAAAATGGTCAATTTAAAAGCTGTTGACAGAAGTGGGGAGGAATGAGATGAACAGATGGTGAGAGATAGGGTCTTTCTGAAGAAGGGTCCTGACCCAAAATGTCAACTTTCCTACTCCTCTGATATTGCCTGGCCTGCTGTGTTCCTCCAGCTCCACTCTGTGTTATCTTTAACAGATAGTGAGGGTATCCAGACCAAAAGATAAAGGGAATGCCAATGATGGTAGAGTAGAGATGTAAAATGGGTCGCTCTGCTGAGAGCAAAGCATGTTTTTGGTGGGGAGAATGAAATCAAAATGGACGACAGAGGTCATGCGCTGAAGTTGTTGAACTCAATGTTGAGTCATAGAGGCTGTAAAGTGCCTGCACAGAAAATTAGGCCATCTTCCAGCTTTCAACAAAAATATTGGCATGGAGCATGGTGATTTATTGAAATGACAAGCAACTGAAATCTTGGGATCATTCATGCAGACAGAACAAAGTGTTCAACGAAGTGGTCACCCAAACTTCATTTGATGTTGCAAGTGTAAAGGCTACTGCATTCTGATAAGCAGATTACAGTAGACTAGATTAAAAGAAATAAAAGTAAAAGATTGTTTCATCTGGAAACTGTGTTGAGGCCTTGGACAGAGAGGACCTTCTATTTCATGGGAAAGTGAGGAGCTGTTCAAAATGGTGTGGAGTGGACTAGGGTGACATTGAAGGAAGGGTCCCTGCAGAATGTGTATAATGGAGAAGAGGGGAAGATGTATTCGGTGCTGGTGTCCTGCTGGAGATGGTGGCAATAGCAGAAGATGATCCTTTGAATGAGGAGATTGGTGAGGTGGAAAGTGAAGATAAGAGGGTGTCTGGGGGGGGAATGAATCCTCCTTTGAAGTAAAAGGAGACAGATTGGGTGACTGCTTTGTGGAATACCTCCATTCTGTCCATAGGGAAGACCCTGACCTTACAGTGTTTGTAATTTCAAAAAACCATCTTGTTCCCATCTAACAGATTTCATCCTGAACCTGCTAGTATTTCAACAAAGCAGAAGGAGCAGCACCTCATTTTCCGCTTATGCATTTTACAACCTCAAGGACTCGACATTGAGCTCAACAACTTCAGAGCATGACTTCTGTTCTCCATTTTGATTCCCAATCCCTCTCCGATCTGTATTTTGTTGGCTCTGCTTTCAGCAGAGTGGATCCTTTTTTCTCCTTTTTACAACTGTCATGTACGCTCATTTTAGATCTCTATCTATGGTGCTAACATTGCTACTCCCTTTGTTTTTATTTGCTGTGAGCAGCCTTGAGATCTGTTCCACCTGCTCAACCTCCCCTCTGTCAACAGCGCAAAAAGCATAATGTTCCAGCCCCTTCCAGTCCTGCAGAAGTTGGACTAGCAGTGTTAACTCTGCTTCCTTCTCTGCAGTTGCTGCCAGACCTGCAGTTTCTTCAGCATTTTCGGGGTTTTTTTTCAGATTTCCAGCATCTGCGATATTTTACTTTACTTTTAACTATTTTCTTCTCCCTGCCCCTGCCACTGAGGAGATTTCAGCCCCTCAGACGGGAATCTATTAATCCAGTGTCTGTGTAAAGAAGATCTGGACTTCCACAAATAATGGTTCCTCTTTGAATTGTATTGCAAATTGGCTTGTGACTTGTCCTCTTTAACTGCAAATATCAGTCTGCTTTTATAGTGCTACCTTAATTACCCTTGATAATTCCACCAGAATATTCTAGATTTCTTAGGCAGGCTTAATATAATTATTCACTTTATCACTAGTGGACTCGGTTATTTTCAGTGAGATTTATACATTTTGGAACACTGTTACTGCCAGCTGTTGTTGGCTCTGACTTCTGACTTTGCTTTTTGTAAGAACTATTCTTTGGTGAGGTTGCTTATATACGCGTGAACAAACTATAAGAACGATAGAAGGAAAGTGGACAACTTGGTTTGCAATGATTTTACAATTCTTATGAAAAAGTACTTGTTTATTGGAGATGGTCAAAATTGAATTAATAATACTTATTTCTTATATGAACAAGAATCCGTAGGAGTATGATCTGAGGAATGTAAAGAGAAACTGAAAATCCTGATTTCCTCATATTGTCATGTTCAGACATGCAGCGTGTCCATGTCTGTGGGAGACCTTTTCTTTGTGGAGTAAAGATCATCAAGTAATTCATTTTTTTGCTTGCACTATTTTCATTTTGGTTTCTTGCAGGTTGTCAAGTGTTCCAGTTGGGAGATTTTCTTAAGTGCAGATGTGGAACTTTACCATGAATAGTTGACGTTGTTTTTCCTGTCTTGCAGTAAATCTGATATGTCTCGATTACGGTTGGCTGCAGGATGTGCCATACTAAAACTTGCACAAGAACCTTGTTATCATGAGATTATCACTCCAGAGCAGTTTCAGCTCTGTGCACTTGTTATTAATGTAAGTTCTGTTACTTTCTTTTCACTCCTTACGTCATTGCCTTGTACTTCTTTGGACTAATAATTAAATACGGTTTGCAACAAAGATCTTAAAGTTAGAAAGGTGCCCAACATAAAAATAATTTCAATAAATTTGTACAATTCAATCTCTCATCCTTCTTGAAATTCATACCACGCAAATGATTCATCTAATTGTATAAATAGATCTTCTAATAAATTCAGATCACTGTTTTAAATATTAATTGAGAATGCTTGCTCAGGAAGTTATGCTGAACTTAATTTTTTTTTTTTTTGAGAGGTTAGCTCCCCTGTCTTGGCAACAATAATTTATTTGGCACTTTTAATGTACTAAAACCTCGCAAGATCTTTTCAGGAGATGTACACTATTGTGTCTGACACCAAGCCATCTAATATTTTAGGTTAGATGGTCAAACAGGTAGGTTAGATGTAAGAAGGGTGTTTCTGAGCTTTAGGGCCAAAGTAATTGAAGGCGCAGCCACCAATAGTGGAACTTCTAATGGCCAATATTGGAGGAATGCAGACATTTTAGATGGTCATGGGGCTGAAGGAGTTACATAGATAGGGAGGGGCAAAACCACAAAAAGATTAAAAAACAAGGATAGGAAATTTACAAATAAGGTGAGTGCAGGGCAGATAGAGAATGGGACTTGAAGTAAAAAGGAAATTTTAAGTTTTGGACGATGTCAAGCTCAGAGGGTGGAATGTGGGAATCCATTCAAGATGGTTGGAATCGTCAAGAATTGAGTTAACAACTGTGTGAATGAGGATTTTGGCCGGGATGAAGTAAGGCAATATTATCTTGGTGGAAATAAACTTTCTTAGTAATGGTGTGAAAATGTAATTGGCAACTCACCCAGGGTCAAGTATGATACCAACTTTGTGAACTGCCTGAAATAGCAACAGAAAAGACCAGAAACACACTACAGCTCCTTTTCATCAGTGGTAATAAAAAGAGATAATATTTGACTTTTCTGATAGTAATGTTAGTGACCTGAAACAATATCTGTTTCTGCTCACCGTGTTCCCTGATCTCTTAAGTTTTGTAAGCTATTGTTCTTATTTTAGATTTCCAGCAACTGCAGTACTATGCTTTTGCAAACAGGCATTTATTCTCAGACAATTGTCAGAGAGGGGTTTAGAGTTGGAATCTGGGGAATGGCATAGTACCCAAAGGCCATGTTCTTTAATCTTTCCAATATTTCATTGGAGGAAATTTCTGATCATCCAGTAATCGATGTTGGATAAGCAGTATGGTAATTTAGTAACTGTACAAGAGTCAAGACAGGTTTATGGTATGGTAGAACTGGGTGTTGTCGGTGTACATGTGAAAACTAATGCTGTGCCTTTGGTTGACATTACTGAGGACATGCAAATGAGTAATTGGTGGGCAGGGGCACGATCATGGATAGATCCTTGGGAACACAAGGGTTTAGCTGGTGCAGGAGCAGGAAGAGAAGCGATTATAAGTGGATATCTGACTAAATGTAGATAATAGTGATATCAGATGAGAGCAGTCCCAAACAGCTGGATGACAATAGAAAGGCATTGGAGTAGAATGCTGTGGTCACTTGTGTCAAAGGCAGCAGACAGGTCAAGCAGGATGATAAGGTAACATAAGAAATAGGACCGTGTCAGCCCCATGAACTTGCCCTGCTTTCAACTAGATCGTGACTGATCCTGCACCTCTGTGGTATTTCCCACAATTGTCCTTTAATGGCTTTAGTCTCAAGAAATCTGTCAATCTCTGCTTTGAATATAAGCCACAAACTAGCCTCCACAGCCCTTTGGGGTTGAGAATTCCAGAGATTCACAACCCTGTTTTGCTGCTGGGGCAGGCAGAATGTGTGGAAGTTGGAGGAATCCTGATCAGAGGAAAGCTGCAAGTTGATTTTGGAGTTAACACATTCAAGGTTTTGAAGACAAAGGAAGGTTGTAGATGTGATGGTTGCTTGCAAGGATGTTGGGATCCAGGATAGGTTTTAGAGAAGTTTTAATAATTAAGTTGTCAGTTACTGTAATTATAAAATTGAAACAACTGTGAAGTAATTCAGCAATTTAAACAGTGTTAGATGTAGGAGAATAAATCTGCAGGGAAATTACAGAGAGATGCCAACATCATAGAACAGTTTTAATGGGTGACTTCAAATACTTAAACTTAAGTTGGGATACTTGTAGTGTATAGGACGATGACGGGCAAGTATTCATAGATTGCGTGCAGGAGACCTTGCTACAACAGTGTGTTTCAGTTCAACAAGAAAGGATGCACTGTTGGACCTGGTTCTTGGAAATGAGTTGGGCCAAATTGATCAAGTTACAGTTGGGGAGCATTTAGAAGACAGTGGTCATTGTATTGTAAGGTTCTATTGTAAAGTTCAGGATGATGGTGGAGAATGATGTGCAATTATCCAGAGTGGAAAAAATCCATTGGCACAAAGCGGACTTCAGTGGATAAGGACAATGGGCAGGGTTGACTGGAGCAAGAGGTTCGTAGGGAATACAGTAACTGAACAATGGGCTACTTTAAAAGAGGAGATGATTCCGGTACAGTAAAAGTGTATACCCTCAAATGGGAGGATCAAAAAAAACAAATCCAGACCTGTCTGGATGCCTAAGGCGATAAAAATTAAGATAAATTAGAAACAAATGCACAAGTGTCAGGTAGAAAAGAAAATTGAGAAACAGGAGAAATAGTGAAAGTTCAGAGGAGGAGATGATAAAGCAAATAAGAGGAGCAAAGAGGAAAATGAGAAAAGACTGGCAGCCAACATGGAAGTGTCCTAAAGTCATCTTTGGCCATATAAATAGAAAAAGGGTGGCAGAAGGAGGGATATGGCCAATTACATACCAATAAGGGGATTTCCACCTGGAGACAAGGTTCATAGGTGTTAAGTGAAGTCTTTGCATCTGGCTTTCCAAAGAGAGGGATGTTGCCCAGGTCAAGGTGACAGAGGATGTCACTCAGTCACTAGAAGGGTTCAAAGGGCACAAGATTATTGGTACTTTGTTCTGTATTTGTTGGGCTTATCTTTGCGATCTTTCTTGAACAAAGTCACAATGTTTTGCAATTTTCCAGTCTTCTGGCGCCACCCCAGAGGCTATGGTGGACAAAGATTGGGGTCAGTGCTTCTGTAATTTCCACACACACACCCTTAAATCTTTGGAGGCATCTCATCTGGTCACGATGCCTTGTCATAGGGGCATAGAGCACAAGAGCATGGAGGTGTTGTTGAATTTTTGAAAGCCAGTAGTTAGAGCTAAGCTGGAGTATTGTGGATGCATTGCAGACAATGGAGAAACAGTTTAAAAATATCATTCCAGAGATAAGGAATTTCAGTTGAGGATAAATTGAAGAAGATGACAGCTGTTCTCCCTGGAGAGAAGAAAGGCCAAGAGGAGATCTTAATAGAGGTTTTCAAAATCGTGAGTGGGTAGGGAGAAACTGTTCCTGCTTGTAAAAGGAAGAAGAATGCAGGATTACAGTTTTCAAGTAATTGCAAAAAAAAAAAATCAAGGGTGAAGTGAGGAAAAATCTTTTCATTCAGCAAGTGTTTAGGATATGAAATGACCACCCGGTAGTGTGGTCAGGGCAGGTTTGACTGAGGCATTCAAGAGGGCATTGGGTACCTATTTGGATAAAAATTGCATGCAAGGGTATGGGGCAGGGGGAAGCAGGAGATTGGCACATGTAATTTTCATTTAACCAGCAAGTGTAGGCACGAGGGGCTGAATGGCCTCCTGTGCTGCAACACTACTCTGATTCTGTGATCATAAAACTGGTAATATTTCACTTTGGATGTATTCTGAAGTAAGCAATGCTAATAATCAATTTGGTAGTTTTTTTTTAAATCACCAAAGGCTGTATTGAGAGGAAAATAGTAGTAGTAATGGCTCATTTGTATTGATTCAAAATGAGGTCAGGAGAGTATTGCTAAACTGTGCTTGGTAAGTGAAACTTGCCCAATGAATTATGAAACATCAGGGTATGTAATTAGCAACTGGAAGTATCTCCATGAATTTTGATATGCTGATAAAACATCCTAATTAATTGCCTCAATGATGCCAGCATGTGCTTGTAAAGAATCTAGTGTTTACCTTGTTTAATCAAGACGGGTACAGTGAAATGGAATAAAATCAGCTCTGGACTCCATAGGTCTGGTGGCATCTGTGGATGCTGAAACAGTAAACTCTGTTTCTCTCCTCATATAAGCAGACAAACCTGCTGAATGTTTCCACCATTTCGTTTTGCTCTTTCAGATTTCCAACCTTCAGTCTTTTGTTTCCATTGTAATGAAATTGAATTATTATTTGCAATTCAGACTGTCCACAGATTAAGGACCATCCTGCAGAGGTTTCGGATGATCACATGCTGCATAAGATGTGAAAAATTACTATGCTATATTCTGCTTTTTATATTATGAAAATAGTGGCTTATGCTATAAAATTCTGACTAATACAATGATTTCTGATTTTATAATTTTGTTGTTGAAGGATGAGTGCTACCAGGTGAGGCAGATATTTGCTCTGAAACTCCACAAGGCCCTCGGGAAATTGCTGCTTCCATTGGAGTACATGGCAGTGTTTGCACTCTGTGCCAAGGACCCTGTGAAAGAGCGAAGAGCGCATGCCAGACAGTGCCTCCTTAAAAACATAAGTATACGGAGAGAGTATATCAAACAGAACCCAATGGCTCATGGTTAGTATTGCCATATACAGTAAGTGTTCACAAAAGATCTTCCATAAGTTAAAGATAGTTTTGTTTGGCACATCCAATGGATATTAATTCTGATATTATCTTTCATGCCTTGGTGTCAGATTTTGTTTGAGAGCTCTCCTGTGAAGTGTTTTGGGATTTTTACTATGTTAAAGTGCTTTAAAATTATTTGATCCTTGACTCTTGCCCTCTCACTCCTTATCAATTTTCATACCTAAAGTTACCTTTGTTTAGAGTCTTACAGTTTTATAGTATGGATTTTTAGCATGTCCATGCTAGTCATCAAATACCTATCTACTCTCATCCCATGTTCCAGCACTTGGCCTATACGCTATGGCTTTTCAAGTATTCATCTAAATACGTAGTAAATGTTGTGAGGGTTGCTGCCTTTACAATCTTTCAGGCAGTTATTTCTAGATTACCCTCCCCTCTCCCTCAGAGCCTCTGTAAACCTTTTGTCAAGCTATTCATCCTTTTTCCAATCTATGTAAAGAATTTTTCAGTTTTCTTAAGATAGAAGCTACCAATTGGGCATTAATGCCTTTGAGAAAACTGTTTCTGCAGCAGCACCGCAACTTAGATTTATCTCAAATACCATGCCACTGTAAAAACCATATACTGTACTCCTCAAGTTAACTTTTTCCAAGCTGAGACTACAAAATTTTCTTGCTGCTTGTTGCTACTCGGGAACTAATTGAAATTTTTAACTTCCCTCTACCATCTTCGCTAGATCAATTTCAGCTGACTTGTGGCAAGCATTTTCTTTTTAGTGTGTTTATTCTTTACTGTGCCCTGATCTTGGGTGAGGACTTTCACTTCTCCACTGGTTTTGTCCAGATCTGCTTGTTTCCACTGTTAACTATTGAAACCAACCCTCTGCTGATTCCTGATAACTTTTTCACTTCCCTTCCAAAATCCAGGGATAATAAGACCATAAGATTTAGGAGTGGAGAAGGCCGTCCAGTAGGATCATGGCTGATTTGACATTCCTCTCATCCACTTTTCTGCTTTTTCCCCATAACCCTTGATTCCACTACTAATCAAAAATCTTATCTGTCTCAAGCTTAACTCCAAGGAAACTGTCTCCACAGCTGTCTATAGCAAGAGTTCCAAAGACACTCAGCCCTCAAAGAGAAAGTTCTTTCTCATCTCAGTCTTAAATTGACGCCCTTTTATTCTAAGATTATGCCCTCTGGTCCTGGACTCTCCCATGAGTTGAAACCTCCTGTCAATCTCCTTAAGAATCTTATGTTTCAATGAGATCACTTCTTATTCTTCTAAATTCCAGTGAGTAGAGTCACAAACATGCTTAACCTTTGCTAATGAGATAATCCCTCCATACCAGGTATCATCCTAATGAGATAGTAGGAACTGCAGATGCTGGAGAATCTGAGGTGTAGAGCTGGATGAACACAGCAGGCCGAGCAGGAAAGCTGACGTTTCGGGCCTAGACCCTTCTTCAGAAATGGGGGAGGGGAAGGGGGTTCTGAAATAAATAGTGAGAGAGGGGGAGGCGGATAGAAGAGAAGATAGGTGGAGAGGAGACAGGCAGGTCAAAGAGGCGGGGATGGAGCCCGTAAAGGTGAGTGTAGGTGGGGAGTTAGGGAGGGGATAGGTCAGTCCAAGGAGGACGGACAGGTCAAGGGGGCAGGATGAGGCTAGTAGGTAGGAGGTGGGGG